ATAGAGTGCAGTGAGTGGTTGTTACCCCCTTGACCTTGATTGTTTGGAACCATGAGCTAAACAAAGGAAGAGCAGACAGACTTTGAAAACATGAGTAGAAACTGTGGGCTCTGTAGATGAAGAGGAAAAGTCCAGGCATTGCTGGCTTTGGAGACCAGGAGAGAAATGCAGGTTAGACATCAGAAGCTAAGATGAGCCATGCTCATTCTGGGTGACTAGCATGGAGGACACATTCTCTACCAATGAACACCAACATGAGGGAGCATGAAAAAGCACCTGGGATTCTACTGGCATGAGAACACCCAGCAGCAAAAGAATGTGTCTCTCATATATCCTTAGAGACTGTGTTAGGGTTACTATTGCTATGATGAAAGACCATTGCCAAACATGTTTATTATGCTGTAGAAAATTAAAAGTACCTATGTACATGTTTTAACTATAAGTCTTTTGTTATATAAGTTTTAAGCCAATTTTTTACAGATTTTACAAATTCTTTAACTACACCCAATGAATTTACAAATCCTGAGATAAGAGTTTATAGCATAATCTTAAGATTTTTTTTTGAGAACAGAATGCAAAGAAATCATAAAGATAAAAGACTTAGGAGGGGAAAGTTGTAGAACCTTAGAGATAAGAGACAGTGATAATTTGCTTGTGTGATGGTAGCAGCTTTTACAATCTGTGAGGATTGGAAATAAGTTTGCCAATTTTTGGCCATTGATCTGTATTAAGGCCAAGCTGTAGTAATAAAATTTGAGTCCATGGAGGGAGAGAGTTATAAAGCAGAGCACCTCACAGGAGAGGGGTGTTACTATAAGTTCCAAGAGGGTGCTGATAGGGAAGCAAGCTGCTGCACTGCAGGCTGGAGCTGAGTAGGAGACTACAGGGGAAAAGCAAACCAGTAAAGAGATCCAGGTGGGTGTAGCAGGCCAAATGGTAGGGATGTAAGTATCTGAAGTGGATAAAGTGTCATGGTGACAAGAATTTCCTTCTCAGCATTCCCCAAGAGGAATGGGAAACTTATCAGAGAGAAAAATGCTCCAAATCACAGAGGAAAGGTGTCCCTTGTCCTTAGGATTGTAGCCCAGTGGAGGCAAGAGGAACTTCCTGGCACACCAGTGTGGCTTTTGTAGTAACAGTAAACGAAGCAGGCACCTTAGGGTGACACCCGGTAGAGAAAGAGAAGGACAGGCCAGAGCCCAGAGAGGTGAGAGAAAGCAAATAAAGGAAAGTAGCAGCTGAGGAACCAGACTCTAGGATTATAACCAAATTGTGTGAGTGGCAGAATCCAGCAGAAACAAATTATCCCTACATACCATAGGAGAGTCAGATCAGCAGACTCGTTTGGAACAGCTGATTTCTTATAAGGGAGCTCATTTATGCCATTCCCAGGTTTCAGCACCAAATGAATGAAAAAAGAAATAAAAAGAAAGGGAAACATGAAAGGAACATGACTGCTCCTAGGCATGGTGGAGGAGAAGGTTTATTGTAGATATGTGTGATAGCATAGCCAGAGGAAGGGGCACTTGGGAAAGTCCAAAGCGGATATAATACTGAGCCATGTGGGGAGAAGGAGAAGGGAAAGGAGAGGGGAGAGAAGGAGGCCAGATGCAGCAGCCAGCAGGCCCAAAGGTACAGAGACAGCAGTTAACCAAAATGTCTGGATTATATAGGGAAGAACAGCTCAGTGCTCTGTGTTGGAGAGTTTTGGATAGGAGGCAGGGTGTGCCAGCCAGGAAAGCCAGGGAGAAGGTTAAGGTTTTCCTTAGTTATGAAAAAAGATAAGTTACACATGAAACTTTAGAGTCACAAAGATAGGATAGATGGTAAAATATTTTCTTTAAATTTTGCCAAATGTTAAAGGACTATACATCTTTAACATAGTTCTTGCTAGGTAACTGTTTTGTTATATATAATTTTACAATTTTAAAGGTAAAACCCTTCTTTTTATTTAGACAGATAAGACGAGATGATGGGGATATTCTTCTGTATATATGTTTCTCTTGTTAGTTGATGACTAAAACACTGGTTTTCCAGTAGCCAGGGAGGAAGATTAGGCAGGGCGACTAGACAAGGAGAATTTGGGGAAGAGGACGCAGAGAGAAGCATTGAGGGAGATGCTATGTAGTCACTGAAGGCGTAATGGGCCTTGGCATTCTCTGATAAGATAAGGCCATGTAAAAATACGTAGACTAATAGAAATGGCTTAACAATTCAGAGAGAGCTAGCCAATAAGTAGCCTGAGCCATTGGCCAATCAGTTTCTATTTAATATAAGCCTCTGTGTGTTTATTTGGAATTAAATGGCTGTGGGACCAGGTGGGACAGAAACTCCATCTTCAGAGGAGGGGTTGATGGGAATGAGAGGGAGATACGAAAAGGTATGGAGAATTATATACAGTTATTAAATAATCAAATATCAAAACTGATCTAAAAACATGAGAAAAAATGGTGTTCAACTCTCCTTGGTCTCCAAAATGACATCAAATTTCTATGGCAGCCAAGATCTACAGACTGTTCAACAAATTAGAAATGCCTCCCCACAGCCCTCACTTTCATGTTTTGGTCTTTCTTTCAGAGAAAAATGTTTTCAACATTAAAGACACCCGAATAAGCTTGTCCATTAGATAAACAATGACATATGCATCAGGTACATTGGCTCTGCTCCACACAGCCTATGCTGTTGTTGAGTGATGGTTTTCATTGCAGAGCTGGGACTGAAATTGGCTTCTTGCATGCTAGACAAGCAGTCTATCATGGAGCTGCAAACCCAGCCCTCTTTCTACTTTTTAAATTTTGACACAAAGTTTCACTAAATTGCCCATTCTTGCCTTAAATTCAATCTGCAGTCTTGAACTTGTGATTCTCCTGCCTCAGCTTCCTGAATATCAGGAACTTAAATTTGCCAGATGTAATTTAAATCAGTTAAAATTTAATTTTCCCAATTATCTTTTACTATTTGTAATATATACTATGTTCTTTGTTGAAATTGAGATACAGGGACTTGCCAGATGGCTCAGAGAGTAAAAGTGCTTGCTTGATATTCAAGTCTGACAAATTGAGTTTGATTCCCTTACCCCAAGCAAAGGTAAAAGAAATCAACACTACAGTGTTCTCCCATCTCCACATGCCCATCTTGATACACACACACACACACACACACACACACACACACACACACGAAGTTTAAAAATTAAAAAAACTGACATTCAGTTGAGTGTCTGTATCTTCATTTGCTAATTCTGGCAACTCTCAGGGATCTCTACATTTAGCAACTGTAAGTAAGGAATCTTCCAATGAACAGAATCCTTAAAACCAAGCAGATCAGATTAGTAATAAAGATAAAAGCTGACAATGTCTGACTGTGATGGTTAAATTTAGAACAACTTGACTAAGAAAACTAACACTAGTAGCAGTGGTAAGACATTTCTGAATATTTTGTGTTCTGTAAGAGATTAAAATTTGAGTCAATAGACTGAGTAAAGGAGATCCATCTTCAACAGTGTGAGCAGGCTACATCCACCTATTGAGAGCCCATGTAGCACAGCTACATGGGAATGAGAGGGAGATACGAAAAGGTATGGTGTATATTGGTGTATATACACCATATATTGTGTATATTGGTGCTTTCTTGTAATGTTGGGATATTTGTTTTCTCCTTCCCTGAGTTATTAGAACTCCAGGTTCTGGCCCTTCAAATTCTGGAAACTTGCACCAGCAACTAACTCTTGGGTCCGTGGGCCTTCGGTATAGGACAGAGAGTTACAACATAGGCTCAACTCCCATGGTATTGAAGCCTTCAGACTCAGGCTTGCTTGCAGCACTGGCCTTCATATGTATCCAGCTTGCGTGTCATGTGATTCCTTAAGCTTCCATGGTCACATGAGACCAATCTATAATAGCTCTGTTTTAAACATCCACACATTGTTATGTTTTGTTTCTGTTTCTCTGGTAAGCACTAATAATGCATTGGTATTGTAGAATGAAGAGACAATGGGCAATCATGCATTGTTTGTGCTGTTAAATAAGTTAATTTAGGAGATAACATTAAGTAAAAATTATTCTTGCTCCCTTGTGTTCCTACATAAGTAAAACAAATGGCAAACCAAAGTCAGTACTAAAATAACCATTGGCCTTAATCAACATGAAGACATCAAATTAACCTCTAACTAGAAACTTTTACTTTAACAAATCAAATTTATTTTATTTCACATCATTCTGTAGGCAACTCATGCTACCCCTCATTACTGCTTTAATTGATTCCAAACTCCCTGTAGTTTAGAGCTACATTCATAAATTTCTTTCTATACAAACTGTTAAAAATTTTAATGTGCACGACTGTGTCTTTGAACACTGTCAAATAGACTTGTCTGTTCTCTCTGGATATTATTTCATTTAATAACGAGAATGGTGTTTGACTTATAAGTCCTACTTCCAAAAAGAAGATAGAGTCAGTTAAGAGTTTAGAAAAGGATTATAAGTTGATACTCATTGCAACAAAGCTAAGTAAATCTAGCCACATAGTTCTCCATCCCCAGGGCGGAAAGGCAGCTGGAACCTTTCTCTGAGCAGATTTTTAGCAGAGCCCAGCTTCAAGTTCTTCCCATGAGTGTCTAATTGAATGTAGGAAAAATCCTTATAGTGAGACAGCACTATTGTCTCTTCATATGAATATGACTGCACAGCACATATCCTAGGCACAGATATGGATGGCAAAAGTTCACTCTATGGGTAAGATTTATCCCCATTTCACAGGCAGCAGGGCTCAGCCTTACAGCAGTAAAGGACAGATTGTGTCTTCCACCATGGAGCCCCAGGAGTAATACAAATGTTACCTCCCATGTTACACCCAGAAAAAAAAATGCAATGACTCCACCCCCGCCCCAGCACAGAGCTCTGATTGCTTATGACTAGTTCCCCTCTCCTGTATCTTATGCCCAGAAGGAGCAGCCATCTTAGGAGACAACAAACTATTGAGAGAACAATAAAGAACGACACAAGTAATTCTCAAATACTTGTTTTCTCCATGTAGATTACTATGTGTTGCATTTTCACAAAAGTGGGCTGGTGCCAAATAGAGGGTTCTGTGGCTTATGTACTTTGATTTGACAATGCACTCTGAATATTTTTTCCATGCGGTGAAGGAAAATCTACTGCACTGGGATCAGAACACGGCAGGGTCAAACAGGATGCAGCCTAAATCGAAGCAGCAGCAAGTGCTGACCAGGGAACTAAACATAAGGGATGTCTTCGATGTCCCTTCGAGGGGCCCTGCAGCCACCCCTGAATTCCCTTGGGCCCCTTGGGTGGAAGGGGTCCTGCAAACTTCTTTGCATCCAGAAGATGTGTCCCATCTTCTGCTTGTTCTTTCTCTCATCCTCCTTTACCCTGGCCATGTTGTCAAATTCCCTAATCATGTCCTCATTGCTGAAGTGCATATCGTGGATGGCCTCCTTATACTCCTTGAGGCAGTGGGCCAGCCCCTTGTTGGTTTTTCTTTTGGCTTTTCTGGGCAGGGGGTCCTCAGCCGGGCGCTTTCCAGCAGGGTTCCCTTTACTAAATTCTGGGTTTCCCTGTGTCTCTGGCCTTCCTTCCTGTTTTGCCCTTCTCTCGGGCTCCGGCTGCTCTTGGCGCCTTGGCAGCATCCCCTCATCTCCTGCCTTTGCCTGGCTTTCTGACCTTTCTTCCTCTTCCGGAGAAAAGGCTACTTCTGACTGTCCTTCCTCCTGTGGCTCTTTACCGTTTTCCACTTGTGCTTGCTTCGAAGGCACTGCTTCCTTCTCCCTCGAGAGTTCTTCCATGTCCGGATTGTTCTTTTTCTGTCCTGGAGGTAGAGGTGGGGGTGGGGTGGGGGAAAGAGGAAATAGAGAAGACACGGAGACTGAGGAGCAGGGGCGGAAGGCACGTTCATCTAGTCTTTGCATCGTGCCCTTGAGAATGGTTCTCTAACTCAGCCTGTCTGCCCTCCAAGTGTGCCTTCTGCCTGCACCCTTCCCTCACAGTTGAGGTAAGCACATCCCGGCAGGTCCTGCCGCCTTCTCTGTCTGTGCTCTTTCACTGTGGCAAACACTGTGGAATACGGTGGGGGTGCGCGGTAGAGACCCAAATCTGCCTGTGTCCCTGTCCATATCGCAGTGACTGAGAGCAGGTCGTCCCTCCTTTCCAGGTGTCCGAGGAAGGAGGCAGTGGCAGTCTCAGATATGCAGACAGGGCACAGGGGGGAGGGTCTATGCACTCAGTGAAAAGCTGTGGCTGGAAAACTGTCCTGGATTCAGGACTTGTCCTCCTCCATTCCTCCCTGCTCCCCAGCCGCCATTTCTTTTCAAGCCTTGAGCTCCAGGGAGGACGGTCTTCTAGCTATTTGGGGGTCTGTGAGTCTCCCTGTCCTGGCTGGAACTCAAGAGCCCACCTTGCCGCTTAGCGGCTTTGGGGTCAGTAATGGCAGAAGGTTGCTTTTCTGTCTTTTTTCCTTCCTTTCCTTCTTTCCAAGCCCTCCCTTAGAGGGCTCCTCCCAGCCCCGGTCCAGTACTGGGACTCCAAAAGGGAGCAGAGAAGGGGCAGCGAAGGCAGCCAGGATACTGGAGTGGGGTGTAGCAGGCAGGCGGGGATACTTGGGGGTGTCTGCCTTCTCTGCCTTCTGCCCGGCGGCCTCAAGCCCCCTAGTAACCTCCCTTTCCCACTGCCTTGTGGTCTACACTCAAGCCCTCCTCCCTTGTCCCAACTCCACCTCCTGCCTTTCCCTCCTAGCGCCCAGCTGGCCTCGCCCCTTAGCATTCGCCTCTAGCCTCTAGGCGCAAAACCTCACACTGACCTGAGAGAAGCAACAACAGTAACCAGGAGCCCCAGGGAATTGAGAGATGGCTCTGGGACAGAGCCCTTGGGAGCAGCGAGGGTGGGGCACTCCAGCAGGCAAATCACGTGACACCACCCAGCGCCAGCCTTCCCTCTTGCCTACTAGCAAGACTCAGCCAGTCACACACCACTCCTCGAATCAGTTACCACTCACATTAAGGGCGTGTCTGTTTCTCTTGTTGGAAAGTTGGTTTTATAAAGAATTTTATTCAATGCCACACTTTTTTTTTTCTTCCGTTGTACTGGGTGGTGTGATGGAAGAATCTTGACAATGTTGCTTTCAAATCTATTGCAAGATCTGAATCAGTGAAGCAAGTCCTAGAACTGGGAATTGAATGCGTGGACAGTAGGATATTGCACTTTTGAGAAAAAGAAATAGGAATTTGTCTCACCAAATAACACTTCCTAATTTTATCATCTGACTTTCATGCATTTTCTAATGAAAAAGGAAAGGGACTTACATTTGGAGCTGAGCGAGAGAATGACTCTTTTATTTTAAGTGGGAAAGTGAGTATAAAGGGTGCAAAGATCAGACCCTGGATGAAGACAGAACTGAGATCAACCATGATTTCAGCACACAGCTTGAGTAACCAAGCACACCTCCACACCAATCTCCAGGACAGAAAGAGAAACCCACTTTCCTTTAAACACATTTAATATATCCTCTAGTCTATGACATCTGGGCCCAGCTTCCAGTAGCCTGATCCCAGCTAGATCTTCTCAAGAACTTCCTAAACTCTTACATCTTTTAAACAGATCTCCATGACAAAGCTTTCTAGCTTGCCTCTCTGGCAATCACAAATGTTGTGTGACTCCCCTGCTTTATCAAGTTGTAAACAAGGAGCCTGTGTTTGTGCTTATGTGGGTTGCCCCCCTCCTGCCCCCCATACAAAGGCCTTTGGATGGTTCACTTATAGTGGCCTTGAACCATCTTTAATGGAATGTTATTGCCTCCCTTCCAAAAGAATTAAATTTCCATCTAGTGGTAGACATGCCACACTCTCACTGATTAAGAGTTAATCCACTTGGGTCAGCAAACCAGTAGGATAAAGGACCCCATCTCAAAAACAGGAATCCTTCCCCCTAAGCCATTCTAAAAGACAAAGGGGACTAAGATGATCCTTTCTTGAGGCAACGTGTCTTCCCTTCCCATAAGCCCTGCTCCTGCAGCAGTCTCCTTCAGAGCTGTAATCTTGCAGCCTTTTCAATCTGCCCACTTTTCTTCTCTCTTCTGGGTGTGGTTTCAGGAACTCTTCTTGCTTCCCCAACACTGTGGGCTTTACTCTTTCTCTGAAGCTCCCTCCATCCCTACTGTGTGGCTGCTTATGATCCCTGTGTGTTTGTGTGTGTGTGTGTGTGTGTGTGTGTGTGTGTGTGTGTGTGTGTGTGTGTGTATGATCCCTGCAGGCTTATTGCAGATGGTACAACTTTTTCTCTTTGTCTGCTACATAGTTTTCCTCGGGAAAGCTGCAGAGATTTGCAGCTTATCTGCCCTGTTGATTTTCAGTTTTTGCTTTCTTTGTTTTCCTCCTCAGGACAATTCATTCTATTCCCTGCATAAGTGTCTGTGTACCATGTGGGCACCTGGAATCCCAAGAAGTCAGAAATGGCAGGAATGGCACCAGATTCCTTGAACTGTAGTTATACATGGTTGTGAGCCTATTGGTGAATGCTGGGAACCAAACCTGGGTGTTCTGCAAGAACAAGTGCTCTAAAGGCATTTGCATTTTCTTCCAGAGGCTGGAGTGATGGCTCAGCTCTTAGGAACCCTTGTTCTTGCAGAAGGCCCTTGGTCAGTTCTCAGCACCCCAATGGAAGAACAGTTCCCTGGGGATCTGATAATCTCTTCTGAACTCTTCCAGAACCAGGAAAACAAGGGCAGTACATGTATGCATGCAGGCAAAATGCCTATAGACAGAAAAGACTATAAATAAATCTACATTTTTCATTGTCATCAAATTTCCATTGAGTCTTTTTAAAAAGTCCTTTATTAATGAGACCAAGAAACTCAAGAGGTCTTGCTGATTTTTCTGGTATCAATATATCTTTTATTATTAGTGTGGCTGTTTTTGTTTTGTTTCTTGACACAGGCTTTCTCTGCAAAATAGCCTTGGCTGTCCTCGAAATCATTTCGTAGGCCATGCTGATCTTGAACTCACAGAGGTCTGCCCACCTCTACTTCCCCCACAGTGCTAGTCTTCCTAAAGGGAGAGACACTGTTTCCAAATGCTGAGTTCTATCAATTGCTGAGTGCCACCTACATCATCTTAGTTATGCTTCTCAATTGGTTCCCTTCTAAGGAAGGCATTTAGCTTTGAGGGAAATGTATGGAGACAAGGGAGGACTATGTCTCGAGAGGCGTTTCCCCTGTGCAGGAACAGTTGCACAACAGGGTTGTTAATGAAGCATGACATCAAAATAGCTATGCTCAGGGCATTTCTTCTGTACCCCTCATATTGAAAATCCTTTCTTTTCCTGTACAATATATCCTGATTACAGTTTCCTCTCCCTTTAGTACCCCCAGTTCCTTCCTACTCCCATGTCATCCAGTCCCTCCCCATTTGTGATTCTGATTAGAAAAGAACAGGCTTCTAGCAGATGAAACAACACATAATTAGAGTAAGAAAAAATAACATAACATACAGGCTGGACAAGGGAAACCAACAGAAGGAAATGAGAGGCCAAGAGAAGGCGTGAGAATCAGAGACCCCCTGGTTCACACAGTCTGGAGTTCCATGAAGATGCTAAGCTGAAAGCTTTGCTATGGACACAGAGGACTTGCTGCTCTATGACTGCATATGAGCTTTGTTCAATTGATTTAGAGTCGGTGTTCTCCTGGTGGCCTCTATCCCCTATTGCCCTTACAAGTTTTCTGCCTGTGCCTTTCAGGGTTCTATGATCTCTTAGTGAAGGGATTTGATGGAAACAGCATAGAGGCATCCCATTAAGACCTTAGTGTTCCAAGGTCTGTCTCTGTCTCTGTCTCTGTCTCTGTCTCTCTCTGTCTCTCTCTGT